GTGTAGTATGATTCAAGTTTGATGATGTGAAATCATCTAAGTCAACTATCAGCTCGGTAAATGGCTATCTCCTGGATCCTCTTCTCTGAGTTGTAGTGTAATTCAACTTTGAGGATGTAATATCATCTAAGTCAAGGTATTACTCCGTAAATGTAAATCTCCTGGATCCTCTTCTCTGTATTGTAGTATAATTCAGCTTTGATAATGTGAAATCATCAAGTCAACTATCAGCTCGGTAAATGGCTCCTGGATCCTCCTCTCTGAGTTGTAGTATAATTCAACTTTGATTATGTGAAATAATCTAAGTTAAACTATTGCTCTGTAAACGACTATCTCCTGGATCCTCCTCAATGTGTTGTAGTATAATTCAACTTTGATTATGTGAAATAATCTAAGTCAAACTATCAGTTGTGTAAACTCCTAAGTCCTGGATCCTCCTCAATGTGTTGTAGTATAATTCAACTTTGATTATGTGAAATAATCTAAGTCAAACTATCAAGTCTGGAAACGACTATCTCCTGAATCCTCGTCACTGTAGTATAGTATAATTCAACTTTGATTATGTGAAATAACCTAAGTCAAACTATCAAGTCTGGAAACGACTATCTCCTGTATCCTCCTCACTGTGTTGTATTATAATTCAACTTTGATTATGTGAAATAATCTAAGTCAAACTATTGCTCTGTAAACGGCTATCTCTTGGATCCTCCTCTCTGTGTTGTAGTATAATTCAACTTTGATTATGTGAAATAATCTAAGTCAAACTATTAGCTCTGTGAACGGCTATCACCTGGATCCTCCTCAATGTAGATGTATATTCTAACTTCAATGACACAAAATCACCAAAGTCAAAATATCTCGCTTGATAATCTGCTAAGTCCTAGAACGTCCTCTCTGTAGATGTATATTCTAACTTCAATGACCCAAAATCATCAAAGTCAAAATATCTCGTTGAATAAACTGCTAAGTCCTGGAACCTCTTCTATGTAGATGTATATTCTAACTTCAATGACCCAAAATCATCAAAGTCAAAATATCTCGTTGAATAAACTGCTAAGTCCCAGAACCTCTTCTCTATAGATGTATAAGTCAAATTATCACAATCTTCAAATTACCAAGTCCAAGGACGTCTAATACACGGCATCAACTGCTAAGTCCATGTAGCCTGCTTCCTTCACAATTAAATAATAAGGCTACCTACAAATATAGCATGCACACAACGACATATGCAAAAATATAACATGTGAAAATATTTGACCTCTAAAATGACTAAGTTCATTTAATGTTAAGTGCTACTGATATTAAAATATTCTAAGTTCAATATTTCTCTTTCCAAAAACAACAAAGTCCAAAATAATATTTCACCAAATATTGACTAAGTTAATTTCATACTAAGTTCAATATTTCTATCTCCAAAAATAACAAAGTCCAAAATAATGTTTCACCAGATACTGACTAAGTCCAATAATGTTGTAAATCGTCTAAGTTCCTTGATGATCAAAATAGCTTGTTTCTCAAACACAAGTTATGTCAGCATTTCCTCTCAGTCTATGAAGGCTGGACAATACGTCTAATGCTTTGCGCTGGGGATAGCTTCACCCTGTTGAAGTTTTGTCCAGTCTTGTAGATCTCCCTTATTTCCAGTGCGGTAAATAAACTAAGTTCCTCTCACTTAGCTACATCAAAGTTTCCCAAAAATCCAAGTTCCAAAATAAACTAAGTTTCGCACACTTAGTTTCCTCAATCTGCCCTTGTATACTGCAAACGTATAGCTTGGGTCATCAGATGTATTCTACTAAGGTACAGCTTCTATCTTCCTGTGTATACTGCAAACGTATAGCTTCAAGACCACAAAATCAACTAAGTTCTATAAAACTTAGAAGATTTTAGCTGTTTCCCGAAATTCCGCTCTGGAGGTCCTTCCTCGACAACATCTGGCATCGCACTGACGAGCCTTCAGCAGCGAGATACTTATATAGGCCCGATGACGTCATCGATTTTCGTACAAGATTTCAACTGTGAATTACAGCTTAATTACGCCATATTTCGCTTCAATATTGAACATACAGTAAGATTATAATATTGACTCAAGAAATATAACAGTAATTAATCACTATCTAGTCTAATTTTCCTTCGATTCAATCGAATCAAAAGCAGGAAGTAAAATAATAAAGTTGTCATGTTAGACTACCGATCAACTACCAATTAGACTGCCAGATAAGACTGCCCGATCAACATAAACAAAATCGTGATCAAATAAATAAAACATGTGAACTATTTCACCTCTGTAAGTACAACCTAAGTGCTGCAAATGATACTACATTTATAAATCTTAATAATCTCAATGGGAAATTACTTTCCAAGTGTAATAATTACCTAATGTATAAAAATACAGCACTTTATCAAAAATCAAAAATTTTGCATTTTTAAAATTCCGTTACAATATAGCCTCTGTGTTTATTGCCACTTTTAATTTAAAGCTATTTGAGCTTTAGTTTATTGGGGTATGTGAGTAATTAACAATTCTATACAAATTCAATAAAATCGCTAAATGCCAACCGAGAGACCGTTTCAATTTATGTTTTATTTGAATTTCAATTAATGTAATAATGCTGTAACAAGACAAAGGCTAATAAAAGCATTAACCAAATATAACCAAAAGTTATGTAATATAATTTGATAGACTATAACACAAGTCCAGATACATAAACCAAACTACAATTTTCAATGAAATACAGTGTCGTCAGTGAAGTATATGAAAGGTACTATTTATATGTAACATTAAATATGATGTACAATACAATCCCAGAGTGTGTAATATGTGTAAGTCTATCCTTGGAGATGTGTGATTTTAATAAATCCCCACACCTGACACAAGAACAGAGTTATGTTTAATATGGATGTGTCTATGCTTGGAGATGCGTGATTAATAAATCTTCACACCTGACACAAAAACAGTGTTATGTGTAATATCTGTGTGTCTATCCTTGGAGATGTCTTAATTTAATAAATCCTCACACCTGACACAAGAACAGAGTTGTGTGTTATATGTGTGTGTCTATCCTTGGAGATGTGTGATTTTAATATAAATTCTCACACCTAACACAAGAACTGAGTTATGTGTAAAAAGTTACGAATGATTTACGAATTCATAAAGTTACGAATCGGCCATTAACAGAACACTTTCGTAGGTCATTCATAAGTTTTATCGTTCGTAAACGAATTTCAAATTGTGACGTCATCTTATATCATTATTTAGCACAAATAAAAATATGATGTCATTTGATATCATTGCGCGCTGTGATCAAACCTGTCTCCGCGATTTCAAAGATTCCCAGCTCAGGAACATATTTGCTTATCATGTAAGAATAGGTAGATATTTTAGCTTGAAACTCAGCATGCTAATAGAGAACAATTTCTTTTTGCCAACCTGTATACCTTACATAAGAATTGGATGAGAAATGTGCCATTCGCAAAATTATGAAAGGGTCTGAGGTGCTATTAAAGTTACGAACGAAAGCATACGTGACGTCATTTTTTCGTAACTTTGCGAATCGTTCGTTACTTTACGAAAGTTCTGTTGATGCACATTTACCAAATTCGTAAAATTAACAATTATATATATGTTTTATTGACTCTTTAGATGTCATATCATGACATATTAGTCACTAAGTAGAGCAGAGCAGGTCTTCCCATTGTCGAGTTGAAGAACTGGTATCTTTATCCTGGCTAGAACCATAGAATAAGGTTGTGAAAAGAAGAAAAAATATTTTGTGACTTCCATAACTTCTTTTTATAATGATATTGGGGACGTATAAAGTAAGCATGCGTCTGTTTTCGTGGCAAAACTGATTTCATTTTCAAAGTAGGAATTTTACATCATGTGACACGATTGTCAAATGACATTTCGTCGGAAATCAATTTGCAGCGAAAAACGATTATTGTATTTTGCAAGGCTATTTTTATCAATTTTGCGAAGGATTTAGTTTTCCAACTTGCAGTTGAGTGAGAGAATCAACTGAAAGTGAAACGCTTGTGAAGTTGTGAACGCATGTAAGTTATATGATCGTTACACAACAGTTATGCGTTGTGTGATTTCGGCATTTGTTTTATCTTGCATGTGATGTTTAGTTATCGATATACGTCCTAACACATGCATTTCAATCAATTTCTTATATTTGTAATGAATAAATGTATTTTGCTCTTTTCACTGGCATCATTTTTTTGTTGAAGTGCAATCGATTAAAAAATATTTTTAGTTATTTAAATGCTTGCGAATGTGAATAACTTTGTACCATGGTACGTCAAAACTGTCATGGTCATATGAATTCAAAAAGTGTGCGAAAATAACATTTCAGAGGTTGACAGTTTCGCCTTAATACATCATTTTAAGTTGGGATATATCACGAGTTTTGTAGTTAAAATAACAAAGAGTTGTCATTTGTGATAAGTACAATCTGATAAGAAATTCTGACAACCGTTTTATTACATCTTTAAAGGCAAAACGTTTCTAAATGATTGGAGAGATCGTGCAACAGTGAATGTTATTCCATGGAAAAACCAATAGCTATTGATTGAATTAAAGAGTGATGAAAGTCTATGCTATTATAACCAATGCTTTTATAACAATATAAGCAATGCGGCATCCACTGTAATCTAATTATTACTTGAAATCATTTTTCATATTAAATAGGTTGAGTCATTGTGATCTTAAGATAACATAGCATATGATAAATTGATTTGATGTGCCCCAAAATTTAAAAAAAATAAAAAATTTGGAAAAACATTTTTCTGAAAAAATGAACTTACTGGAAAAATGTAAAATTTTTGAATTTACCCGGGATGATATCAATATCATCCCTGATATCATCCCTCTAATCCTGATATCATCCCTGTCCCAAGTATGTGATTTATCACTTGCTATTATATACCTGATATTGCTCTGACCATGGTGACTGTATCATAAAAGTGTTTATAAACTCCTAATTTCTTCTGATTACCAGGGTACAAATTTATAAATGGCAGACTCTGAGCTACCTTCTGATGTCCAGCCCCCATCTGACATCCAGCTGGCAGAACGGCATATAGAACGTCCAAGTAAGGAGGTGGTATTCATGCTGCTCGCATGGTGGCTGGAGTACTCCCCAGATGCCAAAGATCCTCCTGATATCACTGACATGGTGGAGGGAGAGGAAATTGTCAAGAAATATAATAAGGTATATGTACTACTGTATGTAATATACTGTATGTTAATACCTACCTCTACAGTATCTATTCTAATCATCATTTTGATGCTGAGATACTGTATGATAAAAATGAACATGTTAAATATAGGTAAAGTTTGTGAAAAGTGCACCTCTGAATTAATAAATCATAAATACTGTAGTTACTTTTTCTAGTTTTATTATCTTTGTTTCATATTGAAGCTAGGTGCTCTTATAGTGACTCCTGAAACGCGTGTTCTAGCCATGGATTGTACTCGAGGGGAGGCGCATGTTGTGCAAAAGTTAATACTGCTTTGTCGTACGAATGGTTGGATGTTGGACGGATGTGTCCTTTATACAAGTAGACTACCATGTTCACACTGCACAAAGCTTATGGTTCAGGGTAGGTGAAATTTGGGTCTTGGGGCCTCCTTTAAATATTTTAAACTTTCTCGTTTCGTGAAGTACGTACTTAATGTAAAGTTTTTATAAAGTTAAATGAAGAGGGTCTTTAGGCCCTATATTAGCCCTCGAAATTTTTCGAATAATTTGTACAGGATATCAAATCTTATTTCTCGAAATATAGGTCATTGTATTAGCATGTAAGAACAGCCTTTTGAACATAGAATCGCTCTTTCTACATCGAGTTACTCTTTCACTGTTTTTTTGTTAAATTAATAATGGATTTCAACTCTCAAGGCATTTAATTGTGCTACTTAACATCACAATGAAGAAACATAAAGGACAACATTGGAAAAACATGATAAATTATAATAAGTATAATATGCATATCAATCCATTGTATAGTACTATTATTGATAATCTGCTTTATCTTTTCATTGTGATCGATTGGACACATACATGCATTAAAGTTTTTTAATTAAAGTCATTTAATACTGAGGTAGGAATTATGCAAGGTAGTGTGCTCAGTACTTATTTATTTAATCACTTCTTAGATGATCTGACTGAATTTTTACCAAATGACTGTGGTGTACAGATTCAGGATGAGATGATTAATCACTTTTTGTGGGCGGACGATTTGAAATTAATCACAAAAGTTCTCTTGTATAATACAAAGAAAACAGATATTTTCTTTCACTTCAATGGCCAAAAATAGAATGCGTTACTGAATATATATATATATATATGTTAAAGTTGCGTTTTCGTCTTGAAATGTACTTTTGATTGTGTTTTCCAGCAAAACTGAAGAAAGTGTATTGCCTCCCAATTGAACCTGAACTGTATGACCCAAAGGAGTTTATTGATAGTGACAGGAAAGCTGTTGATAAACTTTATAGGATAAATGGACTCGGAATTTCTTATTTGACACCTAATGTGACAAATCTCAAGGTTTCGCCATCTGAAGAGATATTTATTAATGTCAGAACTCCGAAGTATGAACTAAAGAGGGAGCTGTTGTTTGATGAAGAGTTCTATAGAGATGAGGAAGCTGCAGGTAGTTCAGTCAATGCAGGAAAATGGAAGGAAGGTCACCTTAAACGGTGTAAAGAAGACTTTGCAAAGTAAGTTTGCTCATAAAGTCTGTTTGTTTGATGTATTCCTATAAAGTGATTGTCTAGTTCAATTAGGAAAACTGTATAGTTCAAAGTCCATTCCCCTTGATTAAACAAGGCATAGGACGTGAACGAGATCACACCATCAAATAGGCAGACACTATGAACCAGGAAAACTGTTCTCCTATTATGTTTACAAATTTCAAGAACAAGAAAACAAGATGGCCGCCCAAAAGTTAATCAGCTCTAGTACTTGATATCCTCTATCATTTGTGTAAATTTGAAGGAAATCCGATGAGCGGTTTTCCTAAAATGGCGATGACAAGATTTTTCGAAAAACCTTCAAAATGGCCACCAGAAAACAAGATGGCTGCCACAAAGTTAATCAGCTCTAGTACTTGATATCCTCTATCATGTGTGTAAATTTGAAGGAAATCCGATGAGCGGATTTTCTGAAATGGCGATGACAAGATTTTTCGAAAAATCTTCAAAATGGCCGCCAGAAAACAAGATGGCCGCCCAAAAGTTAATCAGCTCTCGTACTTGATATCCTCTATCATTTGTGTAAATTTGAAGGAAATCCAATGAGCGGTTTTCCTGAAATGGCGATGACAAGATTTTTCGTAAAACCTTCAAAATGGCCGCCAGAAAACAAGATGGCCACCCAAAAGTTAATCAGCTCTAGTACTTCATATGCTCTATCATCTCTGCGAATTTGGAGAAAATCTGATGAGCAGTTTTCCTTAAACGGCGATGACAAAAAGCGGGACGATCACGATCACGATCACGATCACGACCACGATCACGATCACGACCACGATCACGACCACGACCACGACCAGTATGACGACTATATCCCACCGATGGTGTGATAAAAATTGTCGCAAGATTTCAATATTGTATTGGAAAAATGGGAGTGTCAGATCTGAGGACCTGAGCTGCTGACCTGAACGTCAGATGACTAACTTAACTTACACTTTTATTCTAAAACATTAAATTGTAACAAATTAAAAGGACTTGATTTCAAACCTTATTCAATATATTCTGGTTTAATGAAGCATTATATGAATAATAAATTAAGTGTCGAACTAAATATATTTGAAATTGTCACCCTTTTAATGCACATTGTTTTGAATCAAATTAAAAATGTTTCTACAAATTGTTAACCAAACGGTTGCTATACACTCCCTCTTTGTAAAATATTTTCACAAAGCACCTGCTCCTAGCACTCTCAATTTTTCTATTTTTAGGGCAGCTCGATGGTTATCAGACAAAACTTTTGGTGAAATACCCAAAGATATACACTTTGCTAATAGGTCTGCAAAAGCCATGCATACACTACGAATGGCAAATATACTGGTTCTGAGATCAGGTATCACTGCTTTTCAAATTTTAACACAACGTTTTGATATTTCTGCATCATAGCTTTCAAGCTAATTGTTTATTATGACAATGGTAATGCACAATAAAGAACACGGGTTCTCTTCAGACTGGCAATAAGACCCATTTCTTTGACATATATTTCAAAGAATCATATCAAGATCTATTGAATTCAGTTAATCCCAACTCCAGGCATATGAGTATAATAAGCCCTTGCTCTTGTTGCTTTTGATTCCTTATCATGTTGCCTCAAAATAATTACATCCCATATTGTAAGATTGTTCATCATTAACCATTGATGTTGATTTTTAGAATTTAACTCACCAAATCGCTACATCAAGTTACCATAGCAAGTACCACAACACCAATACCAGCGACGCCAGTGAGGTTTTCACATTCGGGTCATATATTTTACATTCCTATGCATAAGGCTGAAAAATATAGCTTGCTATATCGACGTCGACTGATATTTAGTACAATCCACACCAAAATTAATATGTCAGAGATACAATTTGACGCTAACGCATATGTCGACCCTTGGGGTAACCTTTTTAGTTGAGTCAGAGATGATATCAAATCTAACTAATTACACGATTGAAAAAAGAAATACTGAAGTAAAATTATGAAAGAACGGGTTTATTTAACAGGCTATTGCCTAAAACTTGTACAAAAATATCATTATTCAAAGTTGACATCTACATGTACATGATCTAAATTTTCAAGGTCAAATACCAAAGATCTCAGAAATCACATTTTAAGTGATAAGTTATACTTCCGCTTCAATTTCATGCCCGTTTATACTTGTTTTCCACGGAGGGGGTCAAAAGGAGGCTTTACCGCCACCTATCCTTTGTATTTTGATTCATCAAAATTTTTACAGGGTGGTTTGTTAGTCCAACAACGTTAGACCATGGGTTTCTCTTGAAAGCCCATGGTTAGACCTAGTCTGGGGCCTCATTTCCTACATGTATCTGCCCGCTTATCTGACATGTCTTATGGCCCCGACTAATTAAGATCAGATTAATGAATAAGCCGGATTAAGTTTAAGTTGTTGAACTAGTGGTTTGTATGACAATTACGATTTCTCAGTGATAGGATGCCCTTTATCACACTAGGTACTGGATGTTACGTTTTATCAGTGGTGCTGTGTAACAGAAATTACAAAGTACATGACTTGCATCATATTTTAATTTGTTAACGAAACATCCCGAGTTTTCATTAAAAACTTCCGATTTTCAAACGAGATCTTTTGATTTGTTAACAAGACACACCCATTTTCATGTCTCTATTTCTCTATTTCTTGTATTCTGCTCGCAACATTGAACACGTCGAAACACCATTCTATATTGGCCATGTTAAAATTTAAAATGGCAGCTACCAGTTGTAGGTTCTTTATATTTTCGAACTACTTTATAGATCCCATATTTACAGGGTGTCTCAAAAAATGTACCCAAAAGTATATCAAGAGTACAGATAATCAATATTTTCAGACATTTTTTGCATGGTCATGAAAGTTTTCTCGCCAATACACCATTTTTATTTCAGTCTTGTCTTTTTGATGCTTTAACTCTTTACCTTTTACACCACATAATCTATGTTACCTCATATTTCGATGACAGCCTGTATCCTTATTGCTACAAATGCGGCAAATGATTCAGGGGTAACCTTCCAGAGTTAGGCAGGCTAGCCTGGAGACCAAATGATATCCAAATGAAAACACAGTGGTCTCAAATTGATACACACAACAAAGGCTACACTAGAATCCCAATCCAACCAATGCAGTTTCTTGAACCTCTGACCTCTCTGTGTAAGGGGGCTATAAGACATTGTGACGGCCTCCCTATTCACCATATTTGACGGCCCATACTTTTTTCTCTGAGGCTATTTGAAGGACCATTTTTATGCTAAACCTAAGCTTAGAGAGCCCTAGAACAACTTAAGACCAGCATCCGAACAGAAATCAAAACATTCCACCAGAAATATCAAATGTGATGAACAATGTAGTAGCAAGGATGCAGACTGTCATCGAAATATGAGGTTATATTGAATATGTGGTGTAAAAGGTAATGGGTTAAAGTATCAAAAAGGCAAAACTGAATTAAAAACTGTGTATAGGGGGAACAACTTTCATGTTTTATCTACAAGACCATGCAAAAAATGTCTGAAAATATTGATTGGTTTGTCTATGCTTTTGGTATACTTTTGGGTACAATTTTGAGACACCCTATACATCAAGCGTGTCATCATTATCAGAGTTAAAGGTGATATACGCTGTATGTCTAGAAAATGACTCGTATTTAACTATTCATTGAAATTACATCCATCTGTGTCCAAAATTAAGAAGTGCAAGGTCCCCAATAAGTGTTGTATTATTGTTTTTTTCTAGATGACCCCAAAACAGGTGTGGGTGCAGTTATTACTAAGGGAGACTCTGAGAATGAGGTGTACTGTGGCCTGGGGTGGAATGGTTTCCCTCAAGGTGCTCAGCATTCAGACTATCCCCGGGCTGCAGAGAAAACAGACGTGCACCATGAGAGGAAGTACCCCTATGTTGTGCATGGAGAAATTAATGCATTATCCAATGGGTAAAGTTTAATTATATTGTTGTTTAATTTGAAAACTGCAATGATACAGTCACATATTATTTACTGCACGTGGGGCATGATATTGAAAAAATATGTTTTTATTTGTCTTTCAAATGTTCACAGTAGTTCTATTATATTGACTGACACAAGTTTGTTACTTTGAAATAATAGATATCCAGGAAGTCCCAATAAAACTAATAGCTATATGTTGCATGCCCTCTTTAATTCTGCAGATATTATGTTGAATATGAATATCATAGTCAGTCTAAGTATACCATCCTGTTATTATGCCAAATATCCATATATCCCAGCCATATTTGGAATAGTACAATATAAGTACATGTACCACACATACAGACATATGAATACTTTGTTTTATAGTGCCAAGTTCATCATACTCAATATCTTTATCAATTCATTCATTGCAAGATTTACAGAAGTATAATAAAACTTCTTGTTTGTTAGTCTCCGACAACTTTTGGAGCAAAATTAGAAAACAGCAACTCCACGGAGTAGCAAATCCCACCGAACAAAACATTTTTTGATGAATAATTTTTTCCTGAACATAGCTCCTCGGTTGGATAATTAGATTTACTCATAGAACAACCATGTACAGGGTGGGCCAAAAAACAACCATAAACATGTCCTAGATTACTAGTTCATAAGAGTATTGCATACATTGCAGTAAACGTATTTGGAACATATGATCATTGAAATCTGTAATGTAATTCTGTATTTTATGACTCTTCAGGAGAAACTGGCATTATGTGCCAGGCGACTTCAAGTCCTATCAGACAAAAATACCCTGTGATGACTGCACCCCAGTACTCTATGAGATGGGTGTTCGGGAAATTTACCATCCATCCTCTGACAGCAAGAAGCGGCAGAAGAGTGGTATAGGCTACAGTAAAATACAGGAATATTGCGAAAAGAAAAAGATTAAGTGTTTTGAGGTAGGCAGGCATAACGTCAAATTGTGGGGGTGTATTCACATTAATTAATTATGATGTGTGTTACTTGGTTTAATACAGATGATATCTCATCGTATATTAATATACAAAGATAGTAAAAGGCCCAAATGCAATTCCCGACTTTTTTTGAAAATCCCGATTTTCCAAAATAGATCCCTATTTTCACCCCGATTTTCTATCAAAATATCCCGATTTCTCAAGAATGTAAAATAGAAATATCCAGATTTTAATTATTTTTAGTTGACAGGTATGTAATCAGGGTATTTAAGATTAAATTGTGAAATGCTACTTTGCCATTTTTAGAATTTGCAATCACATACGTACTGAAATTTTAATGAGGTTATTTTTATTTCCAGGCAACAAAATCCGATAAACCAGGAGAAAAATGAGAACAATTACATGTATTCAGGGCAAAACGGGCAAATGCTTAAATAGTAGAACTGTAGATCTATGAAGAGGAACTCTCCAAATATAGCCATTATTTATTTTATTTTTATTTATTTCATGATAATATAACAATGGAATGTACATAGCATGTGCACTCGACACCCTTGGTAATTGGGCGTATCAGTGCTTATATCAAAAACTATTGTAGAGCAATCAAAAAACATATAATATATCACAGTATAACATACATTATCTAAATTGTTTAGATGCAATACAGAAACTTTAAAGACTTGATAGAAATAATTAATATAAATGCAATGTGATCTTATATAATATTTTCATTCATCTTTTCCAAAAGGTCCTCTTTAATGTTGTGTTTAAAATAATTCAAAGTTTTACATGTTCGAAATACATTTGGCAGAGAATTCCATAAAATAGTACCAGAATGTGTCATTGATCTTTTTGTCAATTCAGTTTTTATTTTTCTGGGGTGTATATTATGAAACTGTCTTGTAGTACGATTACCAAACATTATGATTGTACATGTATGTAAAGTAATTTCTGAAAAGATAAGCAGGAAAATTCGATGGTTCCTTGACACAATTATACATAAATTTTGATTTCTCTAACCTGTGAATGTCAAAAATTTTTAAGATTTTCATTTCCCTAAATAATGGTACACTAGGTTGTTGATAATCTGTATTACAAATCAGTCTTACAACTTTTTTCTGAAGATTAAGTATTGGTGTAAGTAATGATTTGTTGACATTACCCCATATGATGTTGCAATATGAAATATGTGAATTAACAAGTGAATAGTAAATGTCTAGCAATGCATGTCTTGATAGTTTATTTCTTACTTTGAAAAGAATGCCTATTATTTTTGAAACAATATATTCGGTATGCCTATTCCATTTCAGATTTGCATCAATGATTACACCAAGAAAATTTATATAGTTAACTCTTTCAATCTGGTTATCACCAATATATACCTTGTATTGATGGCTATTTATTTTATAAAGTCTTGATTTAGTAAATAACATATATTTAGTTTTCTCTATATTGAGTGAAAGCTTGTTGTTTTTAGCCAATTGATTATACTTTTTATTTCAGTGTTTGCCCTCAAGTAAAGGTTGTCTAAGTTGTCATCTTCTAGAGAAATATTTGTGTCATAGCAATATTTCATCATATTGCTAACATTAAAAATATCATTTATATACAACGTAAAAAGGACTGGTCCTAAAACAGACCTTTGAGGGACGCCACAATGCAAATAATGCTCTTCATCAGAGTATGAACCTGATACGAAAGTTTTTAATGGTCGATCGTTTATGTAACTTTTGTACCAATTCAACACTACTCCACGAAATCCTAACAGTTCAAGTTTATTTAATAATATTGTATGGCCAATCGTATCAAAAGCTTTTGAGAGGTCTAAATACAATCCTAGAATATGCTTATTATTATCCATTGAAAACCGAATTTGTTCCAGAAAAGTTAGATAACTTTGTATGTTGAGTTGTTTTCTTTGAATCCAAATTGTTTTTCATTCATTAACTTATTATTTTTGATAAATTTAGAAATTCTTGAGTGCATTACTTTTTCGAGAAGTTTGGAAAATACACTTAATATAAGGGAATTGGTCTATAATTTTCAAATTTAGATTCATCACCCTTTTTGAAAAGTGCTATTAATTTGGTTATTTTCATCTTTTCTGGAAATACACCTGTTTGTAAAGAAAGGTTTGCTATATGAGTAAATGGTGCCACAAGGTTGTACCTTGCATGTTTTATAACTATTGGTTTAATATCATCAAATCCTGGAGCTTTATCATTGAGTCTTTTCATAAGTGTTAAGATTTCATCTTCCATTACAGGTTCTAAAAATAAAGAAAAGGGGTTTCTTGTTATATGCTCAAGTGGTGATCCAGTTGAAGTTATTGTAGATGCTAGTTTTGGTCCAACATCTGAGAAATAGGAAGTAAATTTATTAGCAATAATTCTTTTTATATTTGGTGGGTTGGTTGTTTATATTCATGATATAATCAGTTGAGTCACATTTTTTCCTATGAAGAATATTGTTAATTAGATTCCATGTCTGTTTGATATTACCCTTTGTTTCATTAAATTTAGCTAAATAATATCTATTTTCAGAAGATCGAATGAGATGATTCAGCTTATTTTTATAACTCTTATATTTTTCAAGGGTTTCTAAAGATTGATATTTCAAGTATGAGCGATAGAGCTTATTTTTGATTTTGCAGGATGTAATCAGACCAGTGGTTAACCATGGTTTACTTGAATTAGTATACACCTTTATAGTTTTAATGTGCAAAGGAAAGCATTTATTATATAAGTCAGAAATCATATTTTCAAATAATTGGTATGCATTATTTACATCTTGCTCTGCTAAAATTTCATTCCAATTTATATTTGAAAGTTTACAGTTAAAGTTAATAATAGCTTTATCATTGATTTTACGAAATTTGAATGTTTTTTCTTTCATTTTACAAGTTGCATGTTTCGTGATTGCAAAAATAGCAAAATGATCAGCTATTTCATAATGAACAAGTCCAGAGTTTTTTTTATTTCGGTTGAATTGGTAAATATATTGTCAATAAGTGTGGCAGTTTGAGTGGTTACTCTTGTAGGTTTGTAAATCAGAGGATAGAATGAAGATGCAAATAAATTATTTAAAAATTGTCTTGTTGGAGAATGCGATTCAGTTTTAAAAAGATCGATATTAATGTCACCCATAATGAAAACAGTTCTATTTTCCATTGTTAATCGTGAGAGCAGCTGATCAAAATTAGTGTTAAATTCGTTTATATTGACATTTGGAGGTTTATACAATGTAATAATGATTATATTTTTGGTATCAGATTTTTTAATTTCAATTGCGAGTGTTTCACAATTGCTGTTGTTTAAATTAAGATCGTAACGTTTTTCGTATATCTATCCCTTTAAGAATGTGAATACTGGAGCTACACCGCCACCAGCATTATCAGATCGTGAGCAAAATTCACTATTGTAATTATCTAAAGTATACATAGTCTTTTTTCATAGTCTTTTTTCAGCCATGTTTCCGACATTCCTATTACTGAGATTTTGTGATGTATCATTTCAAGCAAACCATGTAATTTCCATTCATTCTTTGGTAAACTCCTAATATTAATATGCATCATAGATAAATCTGTATCACCCTTCAAATCACATGATAACTGATCAGTATTGACATATTTACACTTATTAATTAAACTATTCACCCTCTTGCTCTTCATTAAATAATAAAGGATTAAATGTTAAGTTTTCAAAGTGGTTATTGATATTAAGTCCTGGTACTAAGTCAAAAAATTCAACGGATGTTGTATTGAATAATGGAAACGTTTGCCATGCATCATCTAGGCTTTTATTATTCATGATTACTCTTTGTAAAAAACGTTAAAATATACAATGGTAAAATTGTGATTATTTTATATGTCACAGCAGTGAGGGGGTTGGTCACCAAGATAAACATTATTAGCAGTTATTTGGATGTCTACAGCACCCAAAATTAACGGAGAAAAATAACTCTGTGTATCAAACAGTTAGATATATTTATGCAAGCCAGTAAATAAGACAGTAGGGCCTACAGTAAAACTCGATAAGTAGACACATAATACTACATTCTCTTGATCCTTTAAAAGCTAGAAAGGCAGAAAATCAAAGCAGTCAAGTTAGTTTGACTGTTAGTAATACACCTGATTAATAAAAATGATCCATTCAAGTTGCACAAAGAAGTTGCATGTAAATGCTTCAACAGATATGTAGATCTGATAGCATGACAATGCATGCTTTGTGTAATTTGTGATTGTCAATTTGAAACACTTGCACCCTCATATTATTAACCAGCTCCAAATTTTATGATAATGAAAAATGCATTTAAAGATTCTCGCAATCTTTATCCAATCAGCGTTTGCGATGTGTACCGGCTCACGTATAAAAGGCGAATCCAACTCAAATCCATGCAGGGGTGTATGAGGTACTCGAATAGGAAAGAGCTCGTGAAATCTGAATTTATATGCACATGGTCAATGTTTACACATGTTTGGAGTTATTGAAGAAAATTTGATATGGGTGTGGTTCCGAACTTGAAGTCATTGCTGGAAAATATGATTTTAATACGTGAAATTATATCGATAAATACGGCACTAAAATAACAGTACACATGAAGTACATGTATGATTGTGTCCAGAAATGTTTGAAACCCTTACGGAAAATTCTGTCTGCATTTTGTCACCATTGCTCTTTCTTCCCGCATTCTAGTGCTGTTTGAATGAATATATTAATTAATGTATTTCTAACTAAAATATATCACATTTTTTTTATAAACCACAAACATTTAGATCATAAAAAAATATTCAATACTTGAGTGAGCACGATATGCAAGGGTTACTAAGTTGACACAGTATGACCACTGATATTGTGTTAGTCCATGCATACAGCGTAACACCCCTCACTTGCATAGTGAAGTGACTAATTGGTTTATGTTTACGTTTTAATGTGTTTTGTGTTCCTTGTTACAGCAAGGGGGGCCAGTAAAGTAGACTAACATGTTTGCATGGCAATTTTTGATCGAATATGTGAGACACTTTAACTCTACAGATAAAGTGAATTTTAATGAATAATTACATTAAATTTAACACTGTGCTCTGACCAGCTTTAATTTAAGTTAAGGGGCATAACGTTTTATTTGTGCTATTGACTGATTAATATCTAGCATATTGTGCATAGTGAATTGTTATCTGAGGCATTTATGACCGCCAAGTTGTTTCTGGATCTCCAGTTACATAGGGCAACCCTAAATGCAGCAAAGGATAACAATGATACTTTATATAATTTGTGATTGTTTTGAGATACTTGCACCCTTATAGTATTAACCATTTTCAACTCCGGATTATGAATATGTATTTATACTGTAACTGTAACAAATATAGTGAAATAAAGGGGAAAAAATAAAAATAAATAAAATAAAAGCGGTGGATATCTTTGAACTGTGGCATCCACGAACGAAATATGAATAAATAGAGATTATCCTATATGAGGTTCAGGATATTGGGATTATCCCGAGGCCAATATAATATATCTGCCCGAGGGCCGTAGGTCCCGAGGGTAGATGTATTATATTGACCAAGGGATAATCCAAATATCCTGAACAGACTATAGGATGATCTGTTTATCCCATGCCAATCACATTGTTCAATTGGCCACAGTTCAGAAACTTTGCAACCAACCGTGGAGTTATTTAAAAATATTCATGTCCAGTTTTGTATTTTTGTCCGTAGCCGGATTTTCCTGTTCAAATATTTGATTATTAATGGGGCATACTGCTCCTTTCCTTCTTAAAAGCATCAAACAGATCGCGATTGTCTGCGTTTTTCTCCATTGTCGTTTACAGTATGAAAACGTTACAAAAAAAGAATCAATACGGGAACAGCGATTATGACGTAGCGGGCAGATATACTATATCTGCCCGCTCGGAGCGGGACGTAAAGCTATATCTGCCCGCTGATGAAAATATAAGTTTTTACAAACCGGCTTTATGTACCTGTAACACGTCCAAGTATGGGATAAAGGATCATACTCCAATCCAGAGTTTACATATCACTTATATATGTCTCTGCATATATGCATGATTTAGTTCAAATATCATAGCATTATGGTAACTATCAAGTAGTTTAATTCGATGAAAACTAAAAAGATCGAAACCAACACTTCCAATCAGCCATCTTACATGCAAAGGTGACGGCTGCCGGGGACGGCCGTAACCTTCTCTTAAAACTGATCAGTGATATTGAAAATATATCATATCTAGTCTTTCTGTATTTAATATTTCTTCGTAATGGAACACAACACTGGCATTCATTTTACCAAATAAAACATCAAATGTGATTTATTAACAGCCTCTTATTACAATAATTTACCAAAAAATACACATTTATTTATATATGCATTATGACACTGTGGCACTCAAATGCCTAACAACTTGAAATATCATTTAAACAAAATATAGAAAATCACATGAACATTTATTAAAAAGAACACCTTAAACAAATTCATTCTATACAATTGTACAGGTAAGGTACAAGAGAATGTAAAATGCTGAGATACAATTAAAGCATGCATTGTGATTGTAAACAATGACTAGTCTACCTTGAAGGCAGATTCAGATCTAGCTCGTTAATATCATGTTTGTCATGTATTAATTATTATTTTTTTATGATCCAAATGAGTGTGATTCAATTATCTCGGTTTTAATACTCAAACTATATTCCAGGAAAACTAAGATTTTTACACATACTAGTATTTTTCTAGATAACATGGATCTTTTTTGTGAAGAAACACACATATATCTTATGAGGTGGTAATGAACACATCAGTATGTCAAGTCAATGCGTACTGTTTGTTATTTCAAGGCGATCTCTTTATCTCTGCTCCTGCCCTTAAATGAGTTGCATTTTCTTAATAATGTTTTTATTAGGTCCTATAAATGTATCTTTTTCTAGATCATAGATTGTATTTGATATGCAGAAATGTAAGATGTACGAGGGTTGATCCAAAAGTTTTGCACCGTTTGCTCTAAAAATCTTAATATTTTATTAATATTGTTCAAATGATGCAGGACTTTCGGATCACCCCCATATGTGATTTTTAAGACACAAAGTATTTAACCTAGCTTTCATCATTCATCACATTTCTGAATTTATTCCATTCTGATGTAGATAGCCTTTTCAGGATTATGATTTCAACAATATAGCAATATTTGTTTCAATCAAACTATATAATATGTAAAAGTAAATATATGAGCTGATAAAACAAAAAAGCCTTGATAGTACTATATAAAAATAAAGCTGTACTGTCTTTGACTATTATGCAGAGTAAATAAAGCATCAACATGTCAAAGTGTCACCACCTGAAGTGTAACAATTGTTACAGATGCTGAATGCCAGTTACAAAAATGATGGCTAAAGGACGATTCTCGGTTTGGAGAACAGTCTCCTGGGCGAATATTTTTTCATGAAAAATATAGAAATATTACCCAAATTAAACTATAAATATTCAAAAGAGGACATTTAAATCTACAAGATGTAAAAATAACAAATTGGTCTGAAGCAGGGATAACGCTCAATTAGACCGATTCAATAAAATACAAGTCTCGATTTGGGGAAAGAAGTTCATCAGTGTACTGCGCTAATATTTTTTTGCGAAAAATCTAGAAATATTACCCAAATTAAATTATGACTATTCAAAAGAGGACATTCAAATCTATATTATGTAAAAAAATCAAGTTTGTCCGAAGCAGGGATAATGCTCATTTCGATTGATGAACTTTGTTCTCCAAACCGAGAATCGTCCTTTCAAAGAAATATATCAATACTTTTTGGTGGTGACATATTAACCTAATACAATGACATTTAACCAATAATGTAATTCATTGATGTATGATAATGTAGACCCAGCAAGGGTTTCCAAATAAGAGATTCATAATATTCCAGTGTTTTGGCAAAAAAGATAAATCAAACATTAACTGCAAATGCAAGAATGCAGCATACAACATAAAAACATAATATTTGAGTGTTTTTGGCAAAAATAAGCCTAAAATTAACAACAAATGCACTTTTCACAGCACACGACACACATTATTGTCATACATTGCTACATGTATACCTTTACAAATTACTGGAATTTTGAGTAGAAAAGTATGCATTCATTTCATGCAAGAAACTTTTGAGTGATTACTGTACTTCTACTTAATTTAGAGCTTGGGAGATTTGTTGTTTTGAACATTTGGTGACCACTTAATTTAGGCGAACTTGCAATATTACAATGTACTAATGGTACTCATTTACATGGTACTTTTATCGGGGAATTTGGTGGTGACTTAATTTGGTGGACTTTAACAATTTGGCGAATCTGCCAAATTAAAACAGCTGCCAAATTAAGTAGAAGTACAGTATATTATTTACAAATATGAAAAAGCTATGCATTGTGTTACATATATGCATATGTAAATAGCCATGGGCCCATAATAATGGCAACAAGTAAATATAAATTAGTTGTATATATTTTGCATATTAATGGAATTAAATCCATCATGTCATCAATACTTTGGTTTATATGGCATATGCTTTATTTTTATTTGGCAATTGAAAATATTCACTTAATTAAATCTTCCTAGTGTTTGTGAATTGTGACAGCTGTTGTAGGGATCCTCCAGCAAATATTGTAGTGTTTTGTAATATATATCAGATTCTACAATACTCTATAATGGCGCAAGATAGCTGCTCTAGCGATGCCTCCACCGTTTATATGGCACTAACCTCAGTGAAGGATAGAAGATGGGAGATCCAATGCTTTGTGATCAGATTTATAGTTCCATAATGACAGCTGCTGTAGGAATGCCTCCAACAAATAAACAAGGATACAAGATGGAGTATCCTAGTGTTTTGTGATATCTATCAGATTCTATAGTACTCCATAACGGCGCATTATAGCTGCTGTAGCAATGCCACTACCAAACATGGCACTAACTGCAGTGAAGGATAAAACATGGAGGAAGCCTAAGCCAGACAATCCATGTCCACTGAAATGAAAGAAGGATAATGTCATTTTATATATTTACATTTACGTATATGGCATACAGTCACCACGAAAATATTTTTCAGTTAGAGACTGACTCATCTAAAGTACAGTAAAACTTGTGTATATTGAACTTTTTTTGCAAAGAAGGGGTAGATGTTCACAACAGAGGGTAATTTATACAGAAGACAGTAGAGTATGTGCAAAGGAAGGGTGTCCATTAGAGACAGGTGTTCACTAGAGAGGTGTTCACTAAGACAGGTTTTACTGTAATGTAACATAGACGTATCATGGCTACTCCATACTCTTCATATGCTTTCTATAATTAGACCTTCATGTAAATCCAGTAGAACTGATCTGAAATTGGGACATCCAATCTTGAGATAGAGAGATTTATATCACCTATTTGGCCCCCACCAAACTGAGCAATTACCTTGTACACCCAGCTGCAATTCTTGACCCAATGAGCATAAGTGCCCCTCCTGTATAGGCCATGAGAGGAGACACCCCTGATGTTACACCCAGTGTCCCTGAAGCTCTTGATGATAAGTATCCACCTACTGCAGCACCTCCCATAAAGAACACCTGCAATGTTAAGTGATAATTGAATACAATCAAAGCAAAAAAGTGTATGAAACCCTCGAATTTGTAATAAACAGTTACTCAGGGACCCAAGTTCTGAGAAACAGCTAGAAAGTGAAAATGGATATTGGAAAGTATTACGCGAGATTTTTTCAGTTCTTGTTGGAAAATAAGTTACTTTTATGATGTGGGGTGATATCTAGAGTTTGAGACTTGCGAAAATAAGATATCTTCATCTTTATACCCCCCACCCTATAATTTTAGGGGGGTCAGAAGAAAATAGACTTTAATTCATAACTTTGGAAGTATATGAGATACAAACTTAATTTTTTCACCAAAATTTATGAAATAACATCAGTAATGAAGAAAAAAATATTTTGAATGAAAAAAAGCTAATTTGCATAATTTAACCCTTAAACTGCCCTAAAAACTAGTAAATGACGAATTGATGTTATATCACATTTACTGTTATTGCCTTCATATGAAGTTATAACTTATGAAATAATTACTAAAGATGCATCTATATATGTATAATAAATGTGCAAAATATTAGAAGTGTATCTTACATAAAGACTGTGAAAAAAATTCTCCCCCTATCCAGATTTTTGAGGGAGGGGGTCAAATAAAAATGGACTTTAATTCATAATTTTAAAAGTATATGAGGTACAAACTTAATTTTTTCACAAAAGTTTATGTAATAACATCAGTAATTCAGAAAAAATATTTTTGATACTCAAATTAGCTAATTTGCATAATTTAACCCTTATACAGTCATAAAAAAACTGTTAAATGACGATGCGATAAAATACGACATTTACTCTAATTGACCTCTCATGAAGTTTTAACAAATAAAGTAATTCCTAAAAATGCATCTATATATGTTTAACAGATGTGCAAAATATTAAAAGTGTATCTTACATAACGACGCTGAAAAAAATTGTCCCCCTACCCAGATATTTGAGGGGGGTAAAATGGAAATGGACTTTAATTCATAACTTTGGAAGTATATGAGGTACAAACTTAATTCTTTCACCAAAATTTATGTTATAACGTCAGTAATTCGGAAGAAATATCTTGATATGAAAATAAGCTAATTTGCATAATTTAACCCTTATACAGTCATAAAAAACGTTAAATGACAAAGTGATGAAATACGAAATTTACTTAAATTGACTTCTATGAAGTTATAACTTGTGAAATAATTCCTAGAAATACATTTACAACGGGTATGGACGATATATAAAAAGGGTATTGTATATAATGAGTGTGAAAAAATCTCACACCCTACCCTAATATTTTAGGGTTGGGGGAAGTTAAAAGAAAATAATAAACTTTGATTCATAACTTTGAAATCGTATAAGAAAGAGCTTATACATGTATTTCTTCGCCAGAATATTGAGAAATCACATCAAGAATGAAACAAATATTACATGGAAACAATATTATACTAGTAATAGTAGTAGTAAATTTATTAATTAAAGTCTTACACACTAAAGATGTTACATTAAGATACATACATGAATAAAAACAATTCCTGGTTGATGCCGACCTATTAGAGACCATCGCATGTAACTATTTCACGCCTTTTGACTAACATATTTATCATACATTTTCCAAGTGTCCTTTGAACAGTTTTTTTCATTCATTATTATACAATATTTTCCTAGACTTGTATACATGTAAAAGTCACTATGGATATCAGTCATTTAGGCAAACAGACTTAATCGTTCATTTTCAAACATATGACATTCTACTTTAAAGTGAGTTTCTGTCTCCATTGACTGTCCACACGAGCACGATCTCTGGTCTATCGGGAGTTGCGTTATTTTTGTTTATATTTCAATATAAAAACAAACTATCATTGGATGTATTACACTTGTTTGCAGCATCCAAAATGATATCAGAGCATTACCACTAACTATGGATGCATTTTTGGTTTATAACAATTATACATTTCAATGAATGCTGACAAACCACTTTTTGAGATTCCAGAGCCAGGGAATGGATTTGGATGTCAAGTGGTTCATATTACTCTTGAGACCATTAAAATGACCAAAAACCGAAACTTGATATAACAAAAATCCCAAAGGTTAATTTGCACATGCAAACGATACAAGGACAAAGCAATATGTTAAACCACTTGCTCATGTGCCACTGCAGGTACAGAATGTTTTGCTGCATGTTCATGCGGCTCAAAGGAAAGTGAGTGTGGACGGGAATAAGTGGATTAAACCAAACATATATGATGACATTTTCACTGCATCAGGTACCTACAACCTAGAATATGATACCAGTCCCCACAGTGACTCTGAATATGGTTCAATAAACTTTAGAATTGTTATGGTTACCTTTTTAAGGGTTATTCTGAAACATTGCAAGTTCAATTAAACTCAATTTATTCATACATTTAATCATTATGTGTACACATATTATTAATAATAGGTGGCACCACAGGTGATGCTTAAATACCCGTACATATAGTAGTTAAATCATGAAGTATATCATTATGTTGTCAACGAATCAAACCGGAATGTAATCACAAAAGTTAGATTATAATAAATAAAGGTATGGGGGATCCATGATGCTAGTTTCATTTGAAGCCAAGAAGGTGCCATATGCCATGGGGAAATTTTATGAATGTGTAGCTTCATTAATTATTATTTAAAGATACCAGGCTACCGCATTGACGCAAATAATCGTAAAAAAGGGTGATTCTTATAAAATATTAGTTATTATTTTACCTTCCCCAAAGTTTGTATGGTCAGAATTATTATTTTAGATCTTAAGTAGTTTAAAGCAGCCCCCAGGTTGGCCCATGTACCTCCCTTGAGAGCCTACCCTTCTTACTGAAGAAACAAGAAATGATATAGTCAACTAATGATTAATAAGCTAAGATAATATGCTTCTTCAGTTTTGATTTAAGAAAAGAAATGGAATTTGACTTTTTTATTTCTTCTGGGAGATTGTTCCATATGGAGTAACCACTAAAGGCTATTGTTTTTTGCCATAATTTTCAGTTTTGCTTTATGGCCTAGTCACATAGCCCGGCCGATGAGGTTACGATGAGCCAGCGATGCAATTTTCACCAAACTCGGTCGAACACCGGCCGGACACCGGCCGGACATCCGTGGCGTTTGTTGCTTAAAACCGCATCGGTGGTAGCTCGGTGAAATTTTAACTTCGGAGTTAAATTTCACCGGGCTTTCACCGAGCTCCCTCATCATGTCATCGCAGCCCCATCGTAACCACATCGGAAAACACGTCGGCCGGTGCACGGCCGAGTATCGGCCGGTGTCCCGTGCATCTGAGACAACCAGAGGACGAGGTTTTTTAACAGACAGCGGACGAGCTCCGGTCGATGTGGGACAGAGCATCGGCCGGTCACTGTTCAAAGCCCGTTAACAACCCGGCCGGCGATCGCACGGTGTCCTGTTACCTGCTCGGGTACCGGCCGTATTCCTTCCGATGTCCGGCCGACCTCCGGCCGGTAGTTGCTGCCACATCGGCAGAAAAAAACTACCATTTTGAGACAGACTCCGTACGGTCACCGGCCGGTGTTCGGTCGGTCGCCTGAAGATGTCCAGACGGAGTCCGTTCACGTCACCGAGCTCTGCTTCCGATGAGGAGAGTTCGGTGGCACCAAAAAAATCCACCGAGCTCTACCGATGCCGGACATCGGCCGGGCTATGTGACTAGGCCATTAGGAAGGGTGAAGTTTGATTTGCCTCTAGTATTATATCTATGAAAATCTCCATGGGCATTGAAATAGTTGGGAAAAATAGCTTCATAATTGTTGATATCATTTTTCCATTTTAAATGCTAGTATTAAGAAAGGATATATTGTCAAAGTCCTTACTTCATGTGAAGTCAATTTCAGTATAGAACCACTTTGCCTTATAATGATTCTCATGACTGTTTGAAGCTTAAATTATGCAAATTAGTTGAAATATAGTATTGTCCCCATGTAATATTCGTTTCATTATTGATGTGATTTCTCAATTTTCAGCGAAGAAATATAAGCTCTTTCTTAAATTATTTCAAAGTTATGAGTTAAAGTCTATTATTTTCTTTAACCCCCCCCCCCCCGAGCCCTCAAAATTATTAAGGTAGGGTGTAAGATTCTTTTCACACTCATTATATAAAATAACCTCTTTATATTGTGCATATCTGTTGTAAACTTTTTCTCGAAGTTATAACTTCATAAGAAGTCAATTAAAGTAAATGCCATATTTTATCACTTCGTCATTTAACGGTTTTTATTACTTTATAAGGGTTAAATTATGCAAATTAGCTTATTTGCATATCAAAAATGTTTTTTCTTAGTTACTGATGTTATTACATAAATTTTGGTGAACAAATAGGTTTATACCTCATATACTTCCAAAGTTATAAATTAAAGTCCATTTTCAGTTGACCCCCCCCCCGAAATATCTGGGTAGGGAGAGAAATTTTTTCACAATCTATATATAAGATGCACTTTTAATATTTTCCACATCTATTATACATATATAGATGCATTTTTAGGAATTATTTCATCAGTTATAACTTCATATGAAGGTAATTACAGTAAATGTCGTATATTATCATTTTGTCATTTAATAGTTTTTATGGCGGTTTAAGGGTTAAATTATGCAAATTAGCTTATTTTTGTTCAAAATATTTTTTTCTCCATTACTGATTTTATTTTGTAAATTTTGGTGAAAAAATTAAGTTTGTATCTTATATACTTCCAAAGTTATGAATTAAAGTTTATTTTCTTTCGACCCCCTCCCTTCAATTTTAGGGTTAGGGGAGAAATATTTTTCACAGTCGTTATGTAAGATACACTTTTAATATTTTGCACATCTAATAAACATATATAGATGCATTTTTAGGAATTATTTCATAAGTTATAACTTCATATGAAGGCAATTACAGTAAAAGTTGTTTATTATCATTCCGTTATTTAATAGTTTTTATGGCGGTTTAAGGGTTAAATTATGTAAAATAGCTTATTTTCGTTTGATATATTTTTTTCTGCATTACTGATGTTATTCTATAAATTATGGTGAAAAAATTAAGCTTGTATCTCATTTACTTCCAAAGTTATGAATTAAAGTTTATTTTCTTCTGACCCCCCTGAAATTATAGGGTGGGGGGTATAAAGATGAGGATATCTTATTTTCGCAAGCCTCAAACTCTAGATATCACCCCACATCATAAAATAAATATATTTTCCAACAAGAAAATGAAAAAATCTCGCGTAATACTCTCCAATATTCAAAAACAAAAATATTCAGGCTGGGTCCCTAAGTAAGTGTGTTTTCTATGTATGCAAACCCCCACTCCTTAACTTACACACTGTCACCCTATCATGTTATATATCATTTTGTTCCTTATAGAAAGTAACACAAGATTACAAAGTTTCAGAATCAAGGGCTGTCCCTGAAAAAAGATACAGTATGTCACAGGTTTCATACATGTGTAGCATGATGTGTCATACTAGGTACAGATTTAAATTAACACAGGTTGACTCTATCTATCTGGAAATCCAGTGGTGTTGAGCAATTAAATCAAATCAACTTCTCTTAACTTTTTAGACATATCAAGATGATCCTTTTAGCTTGTCAAGCTTTTCTCAGTAGAATTTGCTGTATTATGTATGAAGAATAAATATATGAAAAAAAAAAAAAAAAAAAAAAAAAACAGGTTGAATAATGATATTACTACGCCATATATTTTCTCAGACTACCATTTTTATCCGCTCGTGGATATCAACTCATGGATAAAAATGATATGCCCAAAAATCAATGTATATTTATTATTTTCTATGAATAAGGTTTTCATACAGGTTTAACATAGTGTAACAAACCTATAATGATATTGTAGTATGTAATCTGATCTTGTATAAATGAGAACTACTACATGGAAATGTATTTTCAGTTTTTCAAAAATGCTATTGTTTCAAGTTAAGATTATACTCCGTGCAAATACCTGCCACCACCTCCGATATCCACTCTTGTAGTCATTTAGATATGATGAAACTTCACCCAAGGGGCCCTTGAAGATCTGTGAAACAACTGTACAAAAGCTGCTGCTGCTCCCTACACTATGGCCTGTTACAATCGAGATTGGGATCTGTACTACACCAACCAGCATCCCAGAGATGTATGGAGCCCAGGCCTGCATCTCCCAAACTGTTTTACTGTAAGACAAGTTTGGACGCTGAAAATAAATCATAATTCTGTGATTCTTTTCAACTTTAGGAATGACCTGCCAATGTCTGTAAACCATCTTACTATACTCAAACCATCTAACAGGATACAGAATTCCACGAGTGTAAGTAAGACATATCATGGTTTTGGAACGTAATATGTTAATAAGTGTTTAAAACAAAACAAAATGTTGAGATTTACAAATTTTCAATTTGTGATGTGATAATTGGAGGAAAATCAGTTTACCTGATAAAGATGTATGAATACATCGAAAATTTGTAAATCTCAACATTTTGTTTTGATTTTGGAAGATAATTATGATTTAGAAGAAAGGTAAATCACGATTTTTAGTGGGCATATACCAAAGCGCTTTCCCATTGAATAAAGTAACTGAAATATATACCTCCTCTCCATTAATTTGATCGGGGTCAACCCAGTTGTCCGAAACCCAGTTTTCCGAAACCCAGTTGTCCGAAACCCAGTTCTCCGAAAATTAGGGGATCTTATTTGAAAAATACAATTTTTTTAAACGAATCTCGTTGTCGCAACCTCTGCGAATCACAACATAACATTGGAATAACGTTGACATCATTGCAAAATTAGGCTAAATATGCTAAGTCAAGACGTTAATTGTTTAATGTTTAGCCTACGAAAGTTCATATACAGGTGATATAGATTTTCAAACAAACAAAGTTAAATTATGTTATTCTCATTGTAAATGGCGTTTACACAACATACATAGATAGGGGTCTACAATTTTCAAACCAATTTTCTTTATGGCCCATGGGAACAACATTTTTCCAATGGGTGATGAGCGTTCATAAAAGGAAAAATAGCTTTCCCAAGCCAGTGTGCATTTATTTAGTAAAGTTGACATGTACATTTTTTGAAACCAAAACTTATTCTTCATTTACGTACTCTGTTCTAGAAATAGAGATTAAATTAAAAGGATGAAGTGAGCACATGGCGAAAATGAAACTTCTTGCGAATGGGAGAACATCCATTTTGATACGAGGACAGCCTGCCTTCGTTTCCAGTTGATCCCAAGTGATTAAGTTAAGAATGTTTTGTTCTTTTACGATTTGATAAAATACAGAGACTAAGAAATTAAATGCGACGAAATATTTTGACAACGTAATATGTATACTGTTTTATTCTTAAAGTACTATATGCGTAAACTTATTTTATCTGTTTCAAAATGATTCATTTTATTTTGCCTATATAAAAGAGATTGAAGAAGATAAGATAAACTGTTCCGTAATATATATTGTGTTTTGATAACCTTTTTTAGAATCACAATGTAAAATAAATCCCCCGTTCCTGCCATTCTGGTAACGCGTGCAATGGATGCAATTCAAAGTGAGAGAGAGAGAGATCTATGAACATCAGAATGCGTCCATGCCATTAATTTGGCCAAATACATGGCATGAAACTGGCCTAAGCTTAGTACGTCTCCCCTTTCTCTGGTAAATTATGACTTTATTTTTCGGAGTTATGGGTTTCGGACAAGTGGGTTTCGGACAACTGGGTTTCGGACAACTGGGTTTCGGAGAACTGGATTTCGGACAACTGGGGTGCACAGAACATTCAGAAGGGAAAGCAATATATTTTAACAGCCAGTAACTTACTATGAGCTCTGTCTTCCATGGTGCAATTAGTTCAGCACCAAACACAAATATTGCCAATACTGAAGCCATGGGTAATGCAAGTGTAAAGTATGGGCCACCCATCAACTGGGACAGTCTGGAAAATATTGAAAAGTACCCTTTGCATTCTTCTGACTTCGCTTCTCAAAAGAGAGCTTCGTCTTCACTCTTCCGGTTTTCAATAAATCTTTGAACTGACCGAGCAAATCAGAGTTGGTCGTCAAAATACAAACAACTTTCTATATAGTTAGCTAGCTGATTGATTGAGAAAAGATCAGTGCGGTAAGGGTGAAATGATTTATGACCCGAGCTGTCAGGAACATAGGTTCTATGGGGCGGGGCTGCTAAACTGTAATTTAGTTTATACTAGGCAGAGGGTAGTTTAAAACTAGACTACATGCAGGGTAATTAAGTGAAATTAAATTCTTTATTGATTTTAGAAGAAAATAAACTGACTTGTTTGTAAAAATAGTACACAAGAGTACATAGCCCTGATCACAATAGGCAAGCCACATTACACTTCGACTATTGCAGTAAATGCTAATAAGAATCATAATCATCTCAAATGTAGTTTTCTGTGGCATTTTAAGATGGTTTGAATGTAAAATTACCATAGGAACTTTAAGTGATTCTCTGAATACATTTTGATTAAATAGAGGTAGTAAAAGATTGACCACATTCATATTTAGGGTAATGCTTATTAACATACAGTATTCAGTGAAACCTGTGTAATTGGAAAACCTTTGTTACATGTACCTCTTATAAAAAGTGTTATAGGTGTCCCTTGCAGAGGTTCATTAGATCTGGCAGAGGTTCATTTAACAATAAGTCAATAGGTTGTGGGATTTCAAAAACTGTTCCACTTATGGAGGTAATATCCACTTACAGAGAGGTGTTCCATTTTACTAGCTTTACTTGTACAAAGTTTCTTATTTTATTTCATCTTAGAGTGTTTAATCCATGTTGTTGTTAATTCAGTACTGTGGGAGTCTGTTGAAGGTCCTCATTTTATTTTATGTTATCATTAAGTTTCTTTGGATCTAACATTGCCTACAGTATTTCAATATCTATCTTAAACTTTTTGCAAATTCAGTTCGGACTTCATCACTTAAAATGTCTATAATATAGTGAGTATTTAGGAGTAAAGTTGTGATAAAGTATAAATGTTTGGTATCATGAGAGAAAATTGTACTTACGTTGAGAATGAAAGTGGTTTATTGGGTCGAGTAATCCGTGTAAAGAATGGCTCAAAAATCCCATACAAGGCAGCGCCAGATAATGATCCCAACACTGTTATCCCTGAAAATAAATTGAGGATTAATAAAGGATTTTTGCAGACCAAAAATATTTGAGAAATGACCAAAAGATCATGCTTGTATGTATAACATCCAAATATCAACAAATCGGCACTATTACTTTTTATTTATAACTTGGGTTATAACAAAAAAATGTAAAATGACATACTACATGGTACAGTAACTATTTGTAGCAAAAATATAAAACAGTTAATTCATACAAAAATGGCAGCAATTTCTAATGATTGGGACAAATCAACATCATAAACAACAGCGTCTTGTATATGCAGTTAAACCAAAATACAAGTTCAGATTTTATAACAAAATAAATGTGAAATTGGCATTAAAATAAATTTTGCTTTCAAGCAAAACTTCTTTTTCCATAGGACATATAAAATAGAAACGATATTGGGCCAACTTTAATTGAGTTATCAACTAGATGCATTCTCTATACCTTAGGGGAGGCTTCAAAAGTTCAATGTCGGATCAGAAACTAAATAAATCTTTTGACTCTGACCCCCCCCCCTCCTTCCTCAAAAACTAAATACCATGAAAGTTGATCGCTGACTTCCGGTTTGAGAATTTGAATAATCATTGCTGAACACGATCTATTTTTGTTGATTCCTATCGTAGTTTGCGGCTTTTAACAACTATTGATAGAATAGAATCCATTGATCTTGACGAAGAAAGCATCTGGTAAAATCTTTATTTTAAACCATTCCAAGGCATTCTGAGTCAAAATTGCCAATAAAATGGGTTTAAACCCCCTCCCCCCTAACTAGATTTATTTAGTTTTCTATCCCACATCGATCTTTTGATGCCTCCCCTTATCCCCCTTAACTTTGTTTGTGAATAACACAGAGATTGCATTTAGTATTGCAATATACTTTGAGTAAGTGGTAACTCACATGCATGCTGAGTCCCTGTGCCCACTTGCACATATACCATACCAGGACACTAGCAATGGAAAACAAAACAAAAAATTATAGTTAATATCAATATTTAATATACATGTATGTGAAAATGCTGCAACGGGCTATATATCCCTTATTACCTGCAGGAATCCTTTCATGTTTACAAACGTTGTAGATGAAGGTCCTAAGTTTTTCTTGATACCATACATTTTTCTAAGTCTTTACAGAGATCATAAGCCCTTGCCAAATATTACTGAAAATGGATAAATTGAGAACTTCAACAGCCACAATTCTTCAACCCTTCAACACTCTTCCCCTGACAATTTTTTAGCCCCACTCCAAAAGACCTAAAGACCTTTTTTTAATTTTTCCCATTGACAAAAATGTTTTACAGTGAAATCGCATCATTCCACTAGACATATTTATGGCCTTAAAATGTCAATATCATCATTAATCATGGACCAATTCTCATGAATGACTCAAACATAGAATATTGGATTTTCTACATTTTTGTAAGATATTTATATGAAGGGTTTTTCAGATTCCATGTCGCAGGGGGCAACTTTGCCCCCTCTAACCTTTTGTGTAGGTAACATGCCCTATTTCAACATATTCACTTGATTATTCACAAACATTTTACGACTAGTACTTACAGATCCACAGAGCGCCATTCCTACCCCCAGTATAGCTCCACCTACACCACTGCTGAGATAGCCTTTATCAGCTAGGAGTCCTGTGATGTATTTGTTGTAGCTGGTTCTGAAGTATTGCTGAGTAGGCGGGCACATGGACAGCAGTGAGAATGTGAACATACCTGTGTATAAAGTAGTCCAATAATGAAGGTAAACACAGCATAGTAAACAATATCATTCCATTTAGCTTTTCGAAATATAATGAACTTTAAAAAAGTAAAGTACCTTTAATTTATGAGTGGTAGGTACTCTTTGATATGTTCAGTTGAAAATGAGGCTGTAAATTGAAAATTTTGGTGATTTCACACTCGTCTTTCAAATATTTTTATTGGTTCTTGGCCAATGGATTAAAGAGCTAACAAATTTCCAATGATATAATAAAGCCACATATTATCTCATAAACAATATTCTCTTATTTTCTCATTTCAGAATTTGGCCTTTAATAATATTATCTTAATTTGCAGAAAACTGAGAGGAATAATATGTGAGTTAGTATGTACAGTACCTGAGGCAATAGCAGATAAAAACATTTTTATCATTGTGAATCTCTCCATCAACAATTGGTCTATAATAACCTGTGGCTCAAACACTGAAATCAACAAATACAAGTTATAACACAGATGATCTCTATATGTAATTATTTTGAACTACAGTAAAACTTGAATATAGTGAGCGCCTATGGAGCAACAAAAAGTGTTCACTGTAGGTATGTGTTCACTACAGAGAGGGAATTTTTATACAGGAATCAATGTAAAATGTGTTTTGAAGTGATGTTCACTCAAGAAAATTTTAAGCAAATGTGCAACATGCATGCAATAGGCGTAAAATTCTGAGCGAACTGTTTTCGTTTTTTTCAGCATTCATTTTTCAGCGTTTATTAGGAGGCCCTTCCAGGGGGCCTCCTATAGTTTTTGTAGTTATTCTTCTTCTTCTTCTTCTTCTTCTTCTTATTATTCTTTTTAGCATTTTTTCTCCTACTTCTAGCTAGGTCTGAATTAACTCTTATATGCTCCTACTAGGGACATGAGCTGGACTTGTCGGGAAATTAGTTCATATCTAGGTCAAGGTCAAAGGTCAAAATCTAGGTCAAATCTAAGTTTTTTTTAAGTTTCTCAGATTTCGTCCTCATACTTCATTATTTCTTGCGATGAATTAAAATGTAACTAGATATAAGCATTCTCTACAAATTGTCCACTATATGTACGCGTTAATTTTTTACCGTTTTTGAGATATTTGACGTCAAAAAACGGTCAAAAAAGGTCATTTTTCAACTTGCTTCAATTTGACCAAGTTTTTTTTTAAAAAGCATCTACAAAGTCTCAGGAGTTCAAATCTGACCTCAGATTTGACCTTTGACCTTTAGTTGACCTTCTGTGACCTTCGAAAGGTCAAAAAAGTTGATTTTTCAAATTGATTTTTTGGATTCAAATTTAGGTCAGCTTAATCACAAAGGACATACTGAGCTCTGAAAAAGTAAAATTTTTAAGGTCAAAGGTCAAGGTCATCAAATAAGATAACAAACTGTGCTATCTAAGTTTCTCAAAATTCGAGACTACAAATCAATATTTTTGATTGAAAGTCAGAATATATATTCCTCTAGAGGTACTACACATATTAGCAATTGACTATCTATTAAAATTTTACACCAGTTTTGAGATATAAGAGCTCAAGAACTGAAAAAAGGTCAAATTTCGAAAATTTTGAAGGTCAAATTTCAACTTGCTTCAAATTGACCAAAGGTTTTTTTAAAAAGCATCTACAAAGTCTCAGGAGTTCAAATTTGACCTCAAATTTGACCTTTGACCTTTACTTGACCTTCTGTGACCTTCAAAAGGTCAAAAATGTGGATTTTTCAAATTGATTTTTTGGATTCAAATTTAGGTCAGCTTAATCACAAAGAACATACTGAGCTCTGAAAAAGTACAATTTTTAAGGTCAAAGGTCAAGGTCATCAAATTAGGTCACAAACTGTGCTATCTAAGTTTCTCAGAATTCAAGACTACAAATCAATATTTTTGGTTGAAAGTCAGGATATATATTCCTCTAGAGGTACTTCACATATATACATACCAGTTTTGAGATATAAGAGCTCAAGAACTGAAAAAAGGTCAAATTTCGAAAATTTTGAAGGTCAAATTTCAACTTGCTTCAAACTGACCAAATATTTTTTAAAAAAGCATCTACAAAGTCTCAGGAGTTCAAATCTGACCTCAAATTTGGCCTTTGACCTTTAGTTGACCTTCTGTGACCTTCGAAAGGTAAAAAAAGTTGATTTTTCAAATTGACTTTTTGGATTCAAATTTAAGTCAGCTTAATCACAAAAGACATACTGAGCTCTAAAAAAGTAAAATTTTCAAGGTCAAAGGTCAAAGTCATCAAATTAGGTGACAAACTGTAGTATCTACGGGGCCTCCGTAAGATTGCTTGCAATCTTAGATCGTTAGATCTCTAGTTATTCTTTATTATTAGGAGGCCCTTCCAGGGGGCCTCCTATAGTTTTTGTAGTTATTCTTATTCTTCTTCTTCTTCTTCTTATTAGGAGGCCCTTCCAGGGGGCCTCCTATAGTTTTTGTAGTTATTCTTCTTCTTCTTCTTCTTTTTATTAGGAGGCCCCATCGGGGGGCCTCCTATCAATTTTGTAGATATTATTATTCTTTATTATTATTATTTATTCTTCCTCCCTCTTTTTCTCCTACTTCCAACTACCTTCTAACTAGGTACTACATAGCTCTACTAGGGACCTGGGCTGAACTTGGCGGGAAAGGAATTTTTATCTAGGTCAATGTCAAAGGTCAAAATCTAGGTCAAATCAAAGCTTTTTTCAAGTTTCTCAAATCCTGACACTACACTTAAATATTTTTGGCTGAATTTTTGCACACAGATAGATATTAGTATTCTATTAGTCTAAGCCCTTTGCCGTCTAGAGAAATTTTGCCTAGATTTTGAGATATTGAAGGTCAAAAAAAGGTCAAAAAAGGTCTTTTTTTAACTTGCTTCAAATTGACCAAATTTTTTTTTAAAACTCATCTACAAGTTCTCAGGATTCCAAATCTGACCTTACTTTTGACCTTTGACCTTTGGTTGACCTTCAGTGACCTCCGAAAGGTAAAAAAGTTGATTTTTCAAATCGATTTCCTGGATTCAAATTTAGGTATATTTATTCACAAAAGATCTTCTGAGGTCTAAAAAAGTAAAATTTGCAAGGTCAAAGGTTAAGGTCATCAAACGAAATCACAAACTGTGTTTTCTAAGTTTCTCAAAATTGGAGACTACAAATCAATTTTTTTTACTGAAAGTCAGAATATATGTTCCTCTAAAGGTTCTACACATATTAGCAATTGACTATTTATTAAAATTTTGCTCCAGTTTTGAGATATTAGAACTCAAAAACTGAAAAAGGGTCAAATTTCAAAATTTTTCAAGGTCAAATTTCAACTTGCTCTAAATTGACCAAACTTTTTTTAAAAAAGCATCTACAAGATCTCAGGAACTCAAATCTGACCTTAGTTTTGAACTATGACCTTTAGTTGACCTTCAGTGACCTTCGAAAGGTCAAAAAAGTTAAATTTTCAAATTGATTTTCTGGATTCAAATTTAGGTTTCTTCAATCAGAAAAGATATACTGAGGTCTAAAAAAGTAAAACCTGTAAGGTCAAAGGTCAAGGTCATCAAACAAGATCACAAACTGTGTTTTCTAAGTTTCTCAAAGTTTGTGACTACAAATCAATATTTTTGAATTAAAGTCAGGATATATATTCCTCTAAAGGTTTTACACATAATAACAATTGATTATCTATTAAAATTCTGCACCAGTTTTGAGATATTGGACCTCAAAAACTGAAAAAGGTCTAATGTTGAAATTTTTCAAGGTCAAATTTCACATTGCTTCTAATTGACCAAACTTTTTTTTAAAAATCATCTACAAGATGCCTGGAGTTCATATATGTCCTTGTATTTAAGATTTGACCTTTGGCTGACCTTTAAATGTTCAAAAAAGCCTACGGGGCCTCCGTAAGATTGCTTGCAATCTTCTAGTTATTATTCTTTTTAGCATTTTTTCTCCTACTTCTAGCTAGGTCTGAATTAACTCTTATATGCTCCTACTAGGGACATGAGCTGGACTTGTCGGGAAATTAGTTCATATCTAGGTCAAGGTCAAAGGTCAAAATCTAGGTCAAATCTAAGTTTTTTTTAAGTTTCTCAGATTTCGTCCTCATACTTCATTATTTCTTGCGATGAATTAAAATGTAACTAGATATAAGCATTCTCTACAAATTGTCCACTATATGTACGCGTTAATTTTTTACCGTTTTTGAGATATTTGACGTCAAAAAACGGTCAAAAAAGGTCATTTTTCAACTTGCTTCAATTTGACCAAATTTTTTTTTAAAAAGCATCTACAAAGTCTCAGGAGTTCAAATCTGACCTCAGATTTGACCTTTGACCTTTAGTTGACCTTCTGTGACCTTCGAAAGGTCAAAAAAGTTGATTTTTCAAATTGATTTTTTGGATTCAAATTTAGGTCAGCTTAATCACAAAGGACATACTGAGCTCTGAAAAAGTAAAATTTTTAAGGTCAAAGGTCAAGGTCATCAAATAAGATAACAAACTGTGCTATCTAAGTTTCTCAAAATTCGAGACTACAAATCAATATTTTTGATTGAAAGTCAGAATATATATTCCTCTAGAGGTACTACACATATTAGCAATTGACTATCTATTAAAATTTTACACCAGTTTTGAGATATAAGAGCTCAAGAACTGAAAAAAGGTCAAATTTCGAAAATTTTGAAGGTCAAATTTCAACTTGCTTCAAATTGACCAAAGGTTTTTTTAAAAAGCATCTACAAAGTCTCAGGAGTTCAAATTTGACCTCAAATTTGACCTTTGACCTTTACTTGACCTTCTGTGACCTTCGAAAGGTCAAAAATGTGGATTTTTCAAATTGATTTTTTGGATTCAAATTTAGGTCAGCTTAATCACAAAGAACATACTGAGCTCTGAAAAAGTACAATTTTTAAGGTCAAAGGTCAAGGTCATCAAATTAGGTCACAAACTGTGCTATCTAAGTTTCTCAGAATTCAAGACTACAAATCAATATTTTTGGTTGAAAGTCAGGATATATATTCCTCTAGAGGTACTTCACATATATACATACCAGTTTTGAGATATAAGAGCTCAAGAACTGAAAAAAGGTCAAATTTCGAAAATTTTGAAGGTCAAATTTCAACTTGCTTCAAACTGACCAAATATTTTTTAAAAAAGCATCTACAAAGTCTCAGGAGTTCAAATCTGACCTCAAATTTGGCCTTTGACCTTTAGTTGACCTTCTGTGACCTTCGAAAGGTAAAAAAAGTTGATTTTTCAAATTGACTTTTTGGATTCAAATTTAAGTCAGCTTAATCACAAAAGACATACTGAGCTCTAAAAAAGTAAAATTTTCAAGGTCAAAGGTCAAAGTCATCAAATTAGGTGACAAACTGTAGTATCTACGGGGCCTCCGTAAGATTGCTTGCAATCTTAGATCGTTAGATCTCTAGTTTTTTATGTTCTTCTCCTGAAATATTTTTGCTTGACAATAATCAGAAA